AATGCTTTCTTCAAAATCATTTATAAACATGTTAAATAGAAGGGGTCCCAGAACAGACCCCTGAGGGACACCACTTGCCACCTCTGTCCAGCTTGAAAACATGCTTGTGTGCAATGTTTTATGGGGGTTTTGTTGTCTAATGAAAGATTTGAATAAAGTATACCAATGGATATCATGGCACTCTGCAAGAATTTCAGTTACAGAAAGAGGTGTAAGTATAAAAAAAATGTAAACCGATGCTACACTAAAAAAAATGGTACAGGCAGTAAGAAAAAAAGAAAAAAATAGGCATATTTAACAAATGGTGTATTTCCCTGTTGAATACTTACCAACTTGCAGTTTAGAAATAAGACAGCATGTGTCCAAAGAAACCTCAAAAGTGAAATAAATATAAAAACAAACATATGCAGCATATGAATTTAAAAGATCAGCCTCAATTAATATGTTCTTAAAAGACCACCATATGTAAAAAAAAACAGCTCATATCAATGGTTAGCATGCAAGGGATATTCAGGTTCAGTGTCCTTAAGTCTGATAGTGTGGTGACCCGATGGACAAAATCCAGTGAAAATGGCAGAATTTTGAATGCAATGGAAATTCTCATATTTACTAAGTCCAAATCCAGTCGGCCCAAGCGAATCTACAGCAATCAACCAGAGTCATTCAGTGTCGGGATTAAAATCAGTGCTTTCGTATACAAAGTATACAATGTGAAAGATTCACAATGCACCTGTTTGAATAAAATTCTGAACCACAGGATGCACATTAGCAAATTATTGTTCACTTGTTCCCTCATTGTGTGAGAAAATTTCCCATGCAATGTAATAGCTTACATAGTGTGGGAAAGCCTTTATATAGGCTTTTGCCACGATAAGCGCTAAGTCTGTGTCAAGGCCTAGCAGAACGAAGGTGCATTTAAAAAAAAAAAAAAAAAATTAATGGATTTTACATTTTTTATTTGGCTCTTTTTAGGGGGCTGAAGGGAGAATACTTCTAATAGTAAATATAATTTTTTATTTGACATGTAATAGTTTTATTGGCTCCCCTCACTTTTGTTAGGGTGAGGGGGGATAAGTAGGGCTATTTAATTTTTTTATTTTTTTTTACACATCATATCATACACATTATTTGACACCAAGGAAGCCAGAAGGACTGGTGAAACGCATATCTGGATATTTAATTGATCTTAAGACAAGTATTATTTAAATTTTTGTTCCTTTTAGATAATTTTTATTAAGTTAAATAAAGTATATACACCGTATATACTCGAGTATAAGCCGAGTTTTAATACAGACCAGGACCGCCGGGCTCATTACAAGCCCGGTGGTCCTGTTGGGGGCTGGCAGTGAGCTCTTACTTACCTTCCTGCAGCTCCTGTCAGCTCCCTCCTCCTCCGTGCAGCTCCTCGGTTAGCTCCGTTCTGCTCAAAGTGTAAGTCGTACACTGTAAAGAGAACAGAGCTGACCGGGGAGCTGCACGGAGGAGGAGGGAGCTGACAGGAGCTACAGGAATGTAAGTAAGAGCTCACTGCCAGCCCCCCCACTGAACTGCCAATGCCACTGGACCACCAGGGATTTAATATTATTATTTTAATAATAATAAAATAATATTATTAAAATAATATTATTATATTATTATTATTTTAATATTTGCGTTATTTTTTTTTGATGGTTTTTTGTCCCCCCTCCCTGGACAAAAAACATTTAAAAAAAAATAATGCAAATATTAAAATAATAATAATAATAATAATAATAATAATAATAATAATAATAATATGATAATAAAATAATATTATTATTTTAACATTATTTATTATTACATTATTATTATTTTAATATTTGCATTAATTTTTTTTTTAAATGGTTTTTTGTCCCCCCTCCCTGACCAGGCAACAAGCAGTGAGAGAGGACAATAATGCAAATATTAAAATAATAATAATATTATTAAAATAAAATATTAAAATAATATAATAAAATTTAAAAATTTAAAAAAAAAAAATGCCCTCCCCTCATCCATCCTCCACACACTGCACAAACACACTGCATTATATACACACAAACACACACTCTGCATTCATTCTATACACACACACTGAAAATAAATATTCAATTAATGTAATTTTATTGGGATCTAACTTAATTTAGAAATTTACCAGTAGCTGCTGCATTTCCCACCCTAGGCTTATACTCGAGTCAATAAGTTTTCCCAGTTTTTTGTGGTAAAATTAGGGGCCTCGGCTTATATTCGGTACTTTTTAATACATCAGTCGTGATCCAGTGTTCCTGCATGTTATTAAGGGGTGTATGGTCCCTCACCATACACGGCTGTTAAAGCCAATTAATAATCAGGAGATGCTGATTGGTGAAGCATTTTGCAGCCAATCCTTTGTGAAAACATTGGATTGGCTGAGATCATCAAGTTTGATCATCTCAGCCATAGAGTCAGGGCAAGCAAGTTGAGGGGAGACCAGCAAGGTGTGAAAAAATAAAAAAAAAGTGAGTAAAAACACCATTCTTTTGCGAACAGCACCTGAACACACACACACACACACACACACACACACACATCATGACACACACACACACACATCATGACACACACCATGACAGACGGACCCATTCACTCACACAGACATACATTATTGCTTGTTTTAATACCTGTGGGGTCCAGTGGGCGACCAGCTGGCGGGTTGTGCAGGCGGGCAGCATGCTGGGGGGTCATGGAGGCAGGTGGTTGGCTGCGCACATTGTTGCCGGGAGGCAAGGGAGCTGTGATGTCCCTGCTCTGCTTCCTCGTGTGCCGCTTAGTGAGGTCAGCCGGAATATGACATCATATTCTGACCCCAGCCTCACTAAGCCGTGAGTGAGGGAGCAGAGACATCACAGCTTCCTCGCCGCCCGCCTACTATTAGCACAGCCAGCCGTCCGCCTCCATGAACCCCCGCTTGCCGCCCAATTCCATATCCCTGCTTTTCGCCCGCCAGCCTCCACCCCCCGCCTCGGAGGTAACGTGCTCACATATCCCAGGGACCAAGACAAAATTCTTAGGCCCCATGGCAACCTGGCACCTGGGATTTGTCGAGCCATGCTATAGGCATCAAACCAAATTTAGCTTAATGAAGCAATTTTCGTGTATTGACTATGCCCCTACAGTCTCACTGCACAATTCTCTGCCATTTAGTTCTACATACATGTCTGCTTTCTAACCATAAAATGGTTATGCACTAAAGTCTGAATTTTCACAAATTAAGTCTGATTGGAAAAAATCTGGGAAAATTCCCTAACTCAATTGAAGGTCATAATTTGCATTTTTTGCCTTAATCTTTCTATTTGCTGTCGTTGCTATGGTGTCCGTTTTAAAAAAAAAATAAAATCTATAAAAAAAAATAAAAAAAATAAAAACAATAAAGGTCTAGTTTCCAACTACTGATAAAAAGCAAAGGAAAAATTATTCCACATTGCGAACGACTGCATAAAAATGGCTGTGAAAAAGAATTGCATATCATTACCAAGCTTTTTGACCAACGAAGAAATATCCATCATGGGTTTTTTTGTCCTCCTTTTCTAATACACACTCTTTAGGATCTGCAATAAATAACTTAGTATCATTCAAAAACAAAGCCAAACCACATTTAATTTTAACCCACACAGAAACATTAGTGGGCTAAATAAAACATTGGTGAAGATATTAAAACAAAGAAAACTGTATACTGTAGATACATTACACAATTTGAAAGGACTTCAAAGCCATGAGCTAAAAAAAAAAAAAAAACCACACAATAGTTATGGTCTAGTTCAGTGTCAAGTGTACAAAAGACCTTACCCATAACAAATATATGCTCAAACTATATATATATATATTTAAATAACATTCTAACATTAGAAATAAATGTATTTGTTCATAATAATAGTGTTTGTTTTTTGGTTTTTTTCTATAGCTTTAGGGCACCATCACAGCTTCTTTAAAATAATAATTTACTCTTAATTATTTTCCTATACCAACACTATCTTCTTGCCTCAGCTTCTCTGATGTCAAATCTATGGGCCAATACAATGCTTCTCATACAGAAGCTCTGGGGACCTACAAAGCATGACTGCCATTATCAAAAGCTTCAAATTGAATGTTTCTCATACTACATAATTAGGCTATTTCAACTTTACTTGAAATGCAGAGTCAAATAGCGTAGCAATGCACATAGAAAACTTCTGCAATATCTCATATTCGAACAAACATATAAAAAATATGAGTCATACATTACAAATTGGAGCTCCTTTACTTAAAGTTTGGTTATTGAGGACATTCTCTGGTTCCAGCTAAGCAATGTTGTGCCAGACATTAAGAAAAAAATTGTTGGAAACAATATTTGGCAACAAAGTATAGGTTAATAGGGAACATACTGTGTAAATACATTTAATGGTTAATAGGAATATTTTTGGTGAATGCGCTGTTTTAGAACTCGCATGGATTGGTATTCTGTCGCTTATATTTGTTAACTATGCAAATGTGCCAATATGCCACAATGCAGCATAAGCAGAAAATAATTGGTTATTTCAATATTCACTTTTAGCACATTGTCTGCAGCATCTGGTCAGTACATCACCTATATCTACCAGATATTTCATTTACCACACATCTAGATAGGCTATTTCGTGGACACTGGTCACTCCAGATTGAGAGTATATGTCTATGTGTATTGCCCCCCCTTTTGGTTTTAGATTTTATTTAGGAACTTCATCTAGAGCCATAACACTAAAGACTGTCAAATGTTATTACTTACACCTATATCATAGTTTACATCCTAATTCATTGTATTACATTGTACAGTAAGTTATATTTGAAAGGTTTACAACGTTTGGTACTAGAGACATTAGGGACATAAAAATAGCTGACAGAACCAAATGTTGTAATGTACACCACACATAGCAGTGATAGCTACTTACTGAGATAGGTAGAACAGACAGATTACGATATGAAGGTAGATATGAGATTTCTGTAACAACCTATAATTCTGCATCTTCCAAGCCACATGAAAAGACAGAAGAGTATTATTTACTCTACATTCTATTATGATACCTGGATATTCATCTATCTCTGTACTCTAATGGCCTGTGAAGTACCAAGTACGCATGTTAGCATGAATTAAGGAATGGTAACATGTTAACCAAAAATTAATTAAGACACATGTATGTAAACACTCAGCTTTTTAAAGTGCAATCTCTTCTAATTAACATGCCTGAAAATGTGTATTTTATTTATTTTTAACTTGCACACTAATCCTCTATAGCCAATATACAGAGCTCCAGTTCGCTGCGCGTCCTTTGTATAACAGTTATTATGCGTAAGATAGGAATGCATGGATAGAACACAGGAACCATTGCTAATATGCTCATACTCACCATTGCACGTCAACGTTCCGGATCCGGCTGTTGTCATGTGTTTCCATGGAGTCCCATTCTAACTGCTAAACTACTTCCTTGGCCAATCGATGTTCTCTGTTTTCCCGGCTCAGCTCAGAAAACCAATCGCCGCTCTGCTTGAAGAATTGGGCGGGGCGTGGTCCTGCTAAATAGAACTTATCATTAGAAGGCGGCCAGGTAGGAGACACTCCGCTACTGTGTGAGTGGGCGGGGCTTCTCTCACATACACAAAGGCACGGGGCCGAGCTGTCACGGCGGGTCATGTGACTATAGGTTTCCCGTGACAGACGGTTGGCGAGATAGCTCGCTGAGCATCACGGAAACGTGCTCCACAACTCTCGCCTGTTCTATCAAATTCCCCTACCCTCGTGAAAATCCCCTACCTCGTCACTTCCAGTGAGGGGAATCAGGTGGATCCTGTGCTGCACATGCGTGCTAGCACTCCTGCTACTCCTCCACAGCAAGGTCCTGGAAGGTAAGTAAAACTAGTTTTACACTGTCATTATAGTTAGTGCATTCACTAAGCTTAGGCACACGGGACATTTAGGGTTAATGTTAGGGTTAGGTGAGTGCTTCTAACTTCTATCACACTCTATTCTTACCCTAACCCTTGGGGTAAGGGTTAAAATAAAGTGTGAGAAATCACAATTTAGTGATAATCCCCTAATGTGAAATATCACTAAATATGAACAAGTCCCTAATCCTAACCCTAATTTGAACCCTAACATTAACCCTAAATGTCCCATGTCTTAAGCTTAGTGAATGCACTAACTATAATGAAAGTGTAAAACTAGTTTTATTTACCTTCCAGGACCTTGCTGTGGAGGAGTAGCAGGAGTGCTAACATGCATGTGCAGCACAGGATCCAGCTGATTCCCCTCCCCGGAAGTGACGAGGTATGGGATTTTCATGGGTAGGGAAATATGATAGAACACCTGTAATAGTGACAGGGAGAGTAGATACTGCCAAACAGCCTCCGCTTCCTGTCCAGGAGCCGCTCCACGGGGCGCCAAAACTACCAGCTGCCAGACTGTCTGCTAATACCAGCCCCAGGGCAACGGATACCGGGCTGTCTGCTAATACCAACCTCAAGGCACCGGATACTGGGCTGTCTGCTAATACCAGCCCCAGGGCACCAAATACCGGGCTGCAGGGGCGTACCTAGAGCATTTGGCATCCAGGGTGGATCCTGTGCTTGGCACCCTCCCCTTTCTCCCCATTCCCTCTCCCCTCCCCCGCCCCCCCCAAAAAAAAACCTGTAACATTTTTTTAAATGTTTTAATGTTTTGTAAATGTTTTGTATTGAACAAATTTGGAAACTTTGAAAAAACGCTGTCAGCCCCCTTCTACAAAACCCTTGTGTGCCCCACCCCCTCCTACAAAACCCCTGTCCCGCCCCATCTACAAATCCTGTACTGCCCCCGTCTACAAATTCCCTATAAAGACTCCTGTCCCAATACAAAACCCCTGCCCCCTTCTACAACATCTCTGCAGCCCCACACACACATTTACAGGCAGACAGTCACACACACACACAGTTACAGGCAGACAGTCAGAGACAGTCATGCACACAGTCACAGACAGTCAGTCACACACGATTACAGTCAACATCATATAGTCACATGCAGACAGTCACGCACACAGTTATAGGCAGACAGTTACACAGTCAGTTACAGGCAGTCACATAGAGTCATGGCCAGGCAGTCACACACACAGTTATTGGCAGACAGTCACATATACAGTCACACACACAGTCACAGGCAGAGAGTCACACACACATACACAGTTACAGTCACACACACAGTTACAGGCAACATCACACAGTCACAGGCAGACACACACACAGTTACAGGCATGCAGTCACACACACAGACACACATACACAGTTCCAGGCAGACAGACACACACACACAGTTACAGGCATGCAGTCACACACATACACAGTTACAGGCATGCAGTCACACACACACACACAGTTACAGGCATGCAGACACACACACACACAGTTACAGGAATGCAGTCACACACACACATACACAGTTACAGGCATGCAGACACACACACATACACAGTTACAGGCATGCAGACACACACAAACACAGTTACAGGTATGCAGACACACACACACAAGCACAGTTACAGGAAGACAGTTTTACAGACACAGTCACACACAGACACTGTTACTTACAGACAGGAGCTGGAGGAGGAGTGGATTCCCTGAAGTCCTTCCTTGGAGCCTGTTAGGTGCAGAGGCAGGGATTCCTTCTTGCTGCACCTCCATGTGCAGCAGTAACAGCAGCGGGTAAGGGCCGTATTAAGCTCTGCCCCTGCTGCCGATTTGGCTCGCTGCCCACCGATTCTGCTTAGCCACGCCCCCACTTTCCTTCCGTGCGGCCAGTTCAGCTGCTCTTTGCGTGTGTGAGCTGTTCTGGCCGCACGGCACCCTAACTACCATGGGGCACTGTGCGGCCACAGCTCACTCAGCCCCCACACCAGGGTCATGGCACCCCCGACCCAGTGGCACTCAGGGTGGACCGCCCCCCCCCCCTTAGTGCCGGGCTGTCTGCTAATGCCAGCCCCAGGGCACCGAATACTGGGCTGTCTGCTAATACCAGCCCCAGGGCACCGAATACTGGACTGTCTGCTAATACCAGCCCCAGGGCACCGGATACCGGGCTATCTGCTAATACCAGCCCAGGCACCGGATACTGGGCTGTCTGCTAATACCAGCCCCAGGGCACTGAATACCAGGCTGTCTGCTAATACACAGCCCCAGGGCACCGGATACCGGGCTGTCTTCTAATACCAGCCCCAGAGCACCGGATACCGGGCTGTCGGCTAATACCAGCCCCAGGGCACCGGATACCGGGCTGTCTGCTAATACCAGCCCCAGGGCACCGGATACCGGGCTGTCTGCTAATACCAGCCCCAGGGCACCGGATACCGAGCTGTCTGCTTACTGCCCTCCTCCTCGGCAGGTAATACCTGGCTGTCCCCTTACTGCCTTCCTCCTAAGCAGATAATACCGGGCTGTCTGCTAATACCAGCCCCAGGGCACCGGATACCGGGCTGTCTGATTACTGCCCTCCTCCTCGGCAGGTAATACCGGGCTGTACCCTTACTGCCCTCCTCCTAAGCAGATGATACCGGGCTGTCCGCTTACTACTGCCCTCCTCCTAGGCAGGTGTACGCCCAATACATTTCTGTTATTACACTTGTCCGTGTGTTTTATTTGTTGCACCTTCCTCAAAGAACTTTACTTGAAAAGCAGCCTCTATTAAGTAGACTTTTTCAAGTAGGAGTTAAAAAACCAGGAGTTACTTGGAGTGGTTTGTATACTGTGGAGAGTGGTTTGTATTTTATTTTTGTTTAATCTTTAAAATTGGTAAGGTTTAAAAAACAAAAAGTTTTTTTTTTTTTTACTTTTCTTTCTGTGTTCTGGTATTCCCCCCTTTTTTTGTGCTGCTGCTTGATTGATTGGGGGAGTGTTCATAAATTGCACCTGTGTGGGATTTGTATCCCCATAATGGCACACCCCTAACTCACTGAGCTTGCTCACATTACTTGAAAGCAGCCTCTGTTAAGTAGACTCTTTCAAGTAGGAGTTAGAAAACCAGGAGGTGAAACTAACAATGGGTTTAAACTAACACGGTAATTGTTTTTATTTTCTGTTTCAAGGGGAAATGAGTGTTAGCAAGATTGCTGGTTTGACTCAATGCACATCTTGTTGCATGTATGGATGCCTGGATGTACCCGTCCAGGGTCCATACCTCAGTGATGGTTGTGTGCGAGTGGCTTCTCTGGAAGCTCAGATTGGAGATCTCGAGAAGCAAATCGCAACTTTGAGGGAGATTGACAATCTTGAGAGGAGTCTACTGCTCACTGAGCAGAGTTTAGTGGGGACAGGTAGTGGAGAGGGAGGAGATAAGACAGATGGGGAACAGGCATGTAGCTGGGTGACAGTGGGGCGAGGAAGCAGGGGGGGAGGGAAGAGGAAAAGGCTAGCTAGTCCTGATTTGGTGCAACCTAGCAGATTTGCCCATTTGAGGGAAGATGTTGGGAGCATCAGCTCAGGAGTAGCTGTATTAGAGGAAGCTGTTACTTCTAACAGCCAAGCTAACAGCTCCCCTAGTACGGGTGGGGATCAAAATGTAAGGAAGGCAAGGCAGGTTGTGGTGGTAGGGGACTCTATCATTAGGAGAGCAGATAGGGCAATCTGCCGCTCTGATCGGCTCAACCGGACAGTTTGCTGTCTCCCGGGTGCTCGGGTCCGGCATGTTGCTGATAGAGTGGATGGATTATTGGGAGGGGCTGGGGATGACCCAGCGGTCATGGTCCATGTTAGTACCAATGACAAAGTAAGAGGAAGATGGAAGGTCCTAAAGAATGATTTCAGTGAATTAGGTAGCAAACTTAAGAAAAGGACCTCCAAGGTGGTATTCTCTGAGATATTACCTGTGCCACGCGCTACAGTGGAAAGGCAGCAGGAGATTAGAGAAGTCAATGCGTGGATTAAGTCTTGGTGCAGGAAGGAGGGTTTTGGGTTTTTAGAGCACTGGGCCGACTTTGCGATTGGGTACAACCTTTATAGTGGTGATGGATTGCACCTAAACGGGAGAGGGTCTGCAGTGCTGGGGGATAGGATGGCTAGATGGTTGGAGGAGATTTTAAACTAGTAGTAGGGGGGAGGATCATAGCAATCTACAAAATAGAGATAGGACAGAAAGGAGATGAGCTTTAGCACAGTATAAGGTGGGTGGAAACGGGGGGAGGGGCAAGCTCAGAACAGAGAAGCGATGTAATGTTGAAAATTCACAAAATATACAAGTGACGCATAATATTAAATGTATGCTTACTAATGCAAGGAGCCTAAATAACAAAATGGGGGAACTAGAGGCATTAGCATACACTAAACAATATGATATAATAGGCATAACTGAAACATGGTGGGATGAGACACATGACTGGGCAGCTAACTTAAATGGGTACATGTTACTTAGGAAGGATAGGAAAAACAAGAAGGGTGGTGGGGTATGTTTGTATGTCAAACATGATTTAAAGCCAAATGGTAAGCAAATGGAATGCGAGGAGGAAAATGTGGAAGCTTTTTGGGTAAATATCTGCTTGGGGAAAAGAAGGGAAACCAACTATTGGTTGGGATATGTTATAAACCACCTAATGTTAATAT